CAGACTGAGCAGAGGCCAGCAGAGCCACTGGGGAAGGACAAGGAGTTGGCAGAGGGGAGCTTGGACACTGGCATGGGGATGGGTGATGCCTCTGCCATGACCAGGATACCCCTCATAGCCGAGGATCACTCCCAAGTGGTCCCTTCCTACTGCTGCACGTGCCTTGGTCCAGCCCAGAGAGCTGTTGGGTGCCAGAGCAGAGACACCCCAAGGCTTTCTCCAAATCCATTTCCATCCAGCTGAGGGAAAGCACCCCCTCTGAATGGAGGTCTCAGTTTCCAGCCCTCAACTCCTCACTCCCACCTCCCATCTCACCCCCTGCCAAAGCCAGAGGAGAGGGCAGGGAGGCACCAACAGCTGTGGATCCGGTTACCTGCGGCCAACAAAACCTACCTGTCCCTTCCCAGCCGCTTCCCCCGCCCCCTCTCCAGGGGACACAGACCAGAAGGACCCCCCTGGCCCTCCCTGAGCATCGCTGGGTCGCTGCCCGCCTGATCGAGTGACCAGATGGACGGTGGGCTCACACCGCAGCCTCCTCTGTGGGTCCCTTGTCCCCCCCTGAGCCGGCTGAGCTTTGACGCTCTGTCCCCCCGGGGCAGCCTTTGTCAGGGGTGTGCAGAAGGGCCCCTGTGTCCCTCTGATCCCTGCCGGCCCCATGGCAGCGCGTCCCCGGCCGGAGCATAAAGCTGGCTTTCAGGGACCCGGCGTTGGGAAACTCCCGGGGAAGGAGCAAGGGAGCTTCTTGTTAAAGGAGGAGACAAAGCCACCTTGTTAAGGGGTTTACAAAGGCGACCATCTCCCCCCTTGCCTGGGAAGCTCACGACCGGCGACTCCCAACCTCACCGGGGGGATGGCTTTCCCTTTGGAAAGATTGGGAACATTTAATAACCGTGCTGTGCCGCAGCCCTCTGACCCGTGTGCAGGGCCCAGGGCACCTTCCCCACTCCCAGGAACTGCTTGGAGCCCCATCTCCAGAGGAAAATGGGAACCAAATGCTCATTATGGGGAATCCCGAGGTTTTCCTGTGGGTGCACCATTGCTACCAGTGTCCCTGCTGAGGGGACAACGTCCTTGGTGCCCTGGCCCAGGGACAACCACCTGCAGAAAATGACATGATACTGGGTAGCAAAAGAGGAGTTTCTGCCCCACCTGTGGGAGAGGTGGGCTGGGGTCTCCTCCCACACACCACACAGGTGGGAGATGGGACCCCAGGAAGGGATGTGAGGGGAACACAGTCCCATAGGGTATAACCACACAAGACCTCCCTGCTTTCTTCCTGCAAAACATCATTCCTTCTCCTTGCATGGACCCAGTGATCCACTTCTTTGCCCAACAAAATAAAGTTTAAGCAAAAACCCAGCAGCCCCACAGCTGCTTTGTCTCTCTGGGAATTTTCTTTGAAGACCCATCTATTCTTACCATCTTTTGCAGGAAAAATCCCTGCCCCAAACAAACTTAGCACAATCTTTGGCTCGACTCTTGTGCATCTGAGTCTCTGATGGTGACTCAGCCTCTGATGGGCCCCTCCAGGTCCCTGGGCTCCTCATTTTACAGCCCACATCTGGGGGCTGCACACACCCTGGCCACGTCTGAGCCCCTGGGTTGCCCAAACCTGTGCACTGTTCTGAGTTGTTCTTGGCAATCCACACTAAAATCCATGTGCATATTAAACCTTAAACCAGGCAATTACATCTACCCCCACCTCCAGATATATGGGAACATTGATTTTGCCATAGGGATGCAGCAGCCAGAGCTGGCTGGGCAGCTTAAAAAAACAGGACCACCTGGGCCCAGAGCCCATCTGAATGTGACAGACAGCTGGGCAGGGGAATGGGAGACCTGGCTCTGCTAGCAATCCCTAGGGATGGGCAAAACAGGACAAGTTCCAGGTGGGGAACCCCACCAGGCAGCAAAAGCATTGCCAAAGGAGCCAAATTAACAGCAAGGAGCTGTCACCCCTGCTTTTCCCTGGGGCATGTGCCTGCTTCCCACCCACGCTTGCAGGTGGCACTTTGGGGGTCCACATCCCTCCTGGCATCATCCCCACATCCTCCTCCTCCTCTCTCTGGGGAAATGCCACCTGTGGAGGACACATCACCTTCTCTGAGCCAGCAAACATGAGCTGTGTGGTACCACCTGGGGTGCCAGTCCTTCACTGGGAAGCCCTGGACATGGCTCTATACCCCGCAGGGCCAGGCTGGAGGCGACTCTCCCTCACTGGGACAGCAGTAAATTGGACTGCTGCAGCTTTAAAGGAGAGTGTGTGCTCCTGGGCTGGCTGCAGGGCTGGTGGCAGCGGGGAGAGCTGGAGGACACCTGCGGAGATCCTGTACAGCTGGGGAAGATTAGCCTTTTCCACTAGACAAGACCCATTACCATGTTCCAATATACCATCACTTCCGCTAGGAGAGCCTGCAGATGAGATATCGATTGCGGTGACCCCGGACAAGCCCTTCCCCAGAGCCTGGGAGAGTGGCAGAGCGGCCCCAAGGCATGGCCTGCTGTGCAAAGAGGGGGTGCAGCCTCCCAAGGGCACCCTCAGGGACCCCCAGACCAAGGGGCTGCCTGGAGCTTGGATGATGTGTGGGGGAACGTGCAGAAGAGCTTCAAAGTGCAGCAGCGACCCAAGTCTCCTCCCAGGGTCCCTCTGGGCTCTTCCCAGGGCAGCTCTGCCCCAGGAATGGGGAGCCCCCAGCCCATGTTCACGGCCCTTACACAGCCAGGTGGGCATTGCAGAAACAAGCCTGTCACTGTGAAAGCCCAAAATGCCTCTGCTGGGGCGTTCCAGGTGGTTCAGGAGCTGTTCACACTGTGCCAGCTCCAGCCCCCAGAATACCTTCCTGAGACACACAAGGGGTGGGTGGAAGGACTGTGGGAAACTGCAAAGGGGACAGTGAGAAACCACCAAATCATGGGAACTGGAAAGGTTGATAGCAATTAAAGTACTAAACTAATTAAACGTGTGGTGCGTGACTCACAGCGCCCTATCACTGCAGTCCCTGGTGCTGCACCAAGGGAAAGGGCAGGCACGTGGTGGGTCTCATCTGTCCTGTGACTCCATGATTTCTGGGAGGATTTTTCCTTCTGCAAGACTCACGCTGGGTTGGACTTGGCTTTTTGAATACACTGAGCTCTGCCTTACCTGCACGATCCGCTTGCAGCCCAGCTGGAAGCCAACACATGCTGCTCCTCCAAGGCTGACCAGAGTCACATCCACCACTGCCTCAGAGAGCAGCCCTGTGCTTCCTGAGGAGCTGGAGCTGCCGTGGCACACAACATTCATTCTCTACCTGCAGCCAAAAACTTCACTGGACACCCCAGCAGGTGCAGCAAGAACACCCTCGGATCTGCGCTCCAAAGGACTGTGGCACTGGAATACTGGAGGATATTCAAGTTAAATGGCTTTTTCCAGCTGATAATTTAAGCACCCAGGGGAGAGGTGGCCCAGCTGAGTCCTCCCAGAGAACATCCAGCATTTCTCAAGGTTTGGGACACAAGAAACTTCTGCTGAAACACTTTTTTTTGTTGTTGCTGTTTTGTTTGGGTTTTTTTTTCCCTCCCAAAAAAATATCAGCTCCTCATTGCACTGAATCCTTTCAAACTCCAGTTTTTCAGTGGAGAACTCTGCCATGGGCAAGAATGGGCACAGGAGGGAATGCTCACAGCTCACAGGGCTACACGTTGTCCCACAGGCCAGCACAGCATCTGTCCCTGGCACGCAGGACAGAAGCTGCTCTGCTCCCATTGTTTTGTGGATGATGCCACCAGGAGATGGTTCCTGATGAGGTTCTAAGCCCTTTTCCCCATCTGGGAGAGGGCTGGTGTGGGAGGAATAAAGCTGGTTCAACACTGAGCACCACACTGGGGTGGCTGTTCAGCACAACCCACAGGACCCCCACGTGCATCTGCACCTTCAGCATGGACTTGCTGCTGAAAGCAATGAGATGGAGGGAATGGGGCACCCCTGCACAGCCTCCCCCCTTCCCTGCAGCACACGGGGGTTAGATAGGCTCCACCAGCCCAGAAAACCATTTCTCTCCCCTCTCCTGACAGCCCTCCACTGCTTTCTCCTCCAAAGATGGTCGCTGCCAGTAATAGCAGGGAAAGTCACATCCAAGCTGGGAAAATAACATGTTATTTTCCCAGCTGTGATGTCAGAGCTTGTCACACTTGCTGGCTCTGCAGCAGGGAGGGCAGGGCACGCCTGGACGTCCCCAAATGGCCACTGGGCCTGGTTGTCCCCTGGGGGCTGCGAAAAATGTGCCCCTTTTTGGTGGCAGCTCTGCTTTTGCTTCCCTAATGCATCGGAAAGCAGCACATCCCTGCTGCTGGAATGTGGCTGCCCAGAGCCCCCCAGTCCTGCCAGGCACTGCAGGACACAGCACGGTGGGTGCATTGCTCCCAGTCCCAGAGGGCATCTCTGCTCCTGTCCCGGGGGCACCCACTGTGGGGACACCCCAAACCGGGTCCTTCCCCACCCTCAGCAGTGTGGACCAGCAGCACATCCTGGGTGTTTGCATGAGCTAGAAAATCCAGTCCTTTCCTTTCCCCTTTCCTTTCACCACAGTTTTGGGTTTCCCTCACTGAGCCATCCCTGCATCTCAGCCAAGTGCTGCATCCTGAGCATCGGGAACAGAAGGACCCGCAACCCCCCAGGCACCACGGGAGATGAACCCAGCCCGGAGCGAGCATTCCTTTCCTCCTCACCTCTCGCAACACCATCAAAGGATATTTCCCCATTTTTGCCTTTCCTAGATCTGCTCTTACAACTCACAGCCAAAAGGGTCAAATCCCCTTAATCCATCCCTGTCCTCCAGCTCACCCCTCCATCCCAGCATCGCGCGGGGCAACGTCCCCCTCTCCCCACCTTCACCACAAGGTACCACCAACCCCCCACGTCCTTCGCAGGCACTTAATCCATCACCAACTTCACAAAGCCGGGCCGGGGGAAGCGCCGGGCCAGAGGAGCAAACAAACGAGGCAGGAATAAAGCCCGGCTCTCAGTGCCGGACCCGCGCGTGGCTGGGGGTTTATTTCTTTCCCCACTTCTCCTCCGATGGACCAAACCCTTTTTCCACCCCCCCTCCCGACTGCATTTCACTTGCCGCCCCATAACAAAGCCGTCACCGCCGCCGCGGCTCCGCTCCGGAGAGACGAGTTACAATTACAAATTGCCACCACAATTAGTGCTACTTCTTAGAGAAATTAGAAAGGGGAGAGGAAGGCTCGCGTGCGATTGATTGCTATTCATCCTGCTTTACGGTGACCTTGCTCTGGAGACGATGATATTCCTTCAGCCTGGAAACCGGGATTTAAAAAAAAAAAAAAATTAATTGTAAATTAACAGTAATAACACACATTTCCTTTCAATTAATTTAAGCAGAATGAGGGGGCGTGAAGAGCAGGCGTTTGTTAAGGCCTGTACAGTTTAATTATTTTTTTTCCCCCCACGAGATAATGTAATTAATTTATCTTAGAGGAGTAGGGGGACATCGAGGATGGGGGAGAACAAAGCAGTTAACAGGCAATGGAAAAATTAAGAGCCCATTATGTAAATGCAGCGTGTTTTACAGCCCTAGAGTTGGGGGGGGGTGTCTGAGAAATAAGTAAAATAGTGAGGCTGGCTGTGCTGGGGAAGACTGTAATTAAGCAGGGCTGGTGGCACCCCACTGCTCAGGGGGAGCTCGGGGGGGGGGCCTTGGTGCACCCCCAGAGCCTGAATGGGGAAGGGGAAAGATGCTGGGGGCTTCCCCCCCACACACATTGAGGAGGGTCCCTCTCTGCCCCACAGACCTCAGCGAGTTGATGTTGATGAAGCCGGTGGCGTCGGCGGGCTCGTAGTCCCCTTGCACGTTCATGCTGTGGAGAGAAAGGCACAGTGGGATGGGATTCCTGAGGGGAAGCAGGGCTGCCCTTTGGGAAGGGAGAATTGTGGGTGACCCCTGAGCTGGCTGCTCCCACAGGCTGATGCTGCCCCTCATCCACTGCTGGTGGGTGTGGGGTCTTGGGGCAGGGTCCCAGCCAGCCCTGGGGAAGGGGCACGTGGCTCAGGAGCAGCAGAGCCATAGGACCACCCTGGTGGCCATTCCCAGGTTCCCCAGGCCCTGCTAGAGACACAGCCCCAAATTCCTCATGCAGTCCTTCATGTACCTCATCACCCTTCCTCCTCGTGCTTGGGCACCAAGCAGGGATGCTCGCCCTGTCCCGGAGCCATGCCACGGGTATGCCTGTCCCATGGCAGGCAGGGCATTGCCCTGGAAAGGGAATGGAATCCTGGGCAGGAGGCACTGCCCTGGGCATGGAACAGGGTCCCGGGCAGGGACATCCCCAGCACCAAAGTGAGGTTTATGGCTGTGGCAGCCGGTGCCTTGGTGCGACACCAAGCACATCTCCCTCCCCAGAGCAGCAGCCGCCCACTGAATCCCAACTCCAATGGTCTCCTACATCCCCAAAACACACGGCTCATTTCCCAGAAACTGCAAACCTGAAAGAAGGAAGTGGAGGGAAATAAAGAAGAAAAAAAAAAAAATAAAGAGTTTACAACGATTTTACCTCCCCTGACGGGCTACAGAAAAACCTCTGTGCTTTTATTTTTGCTCATTCGAGTGGTTCTGACCTGCTCTATAATTACGTTACTTTCTACCTACTGTGCAGAGGCATTTCCACACAGCTCTGCCTCTCACAGCTTTCTCTCGGGTTCCTGTGACGCCGTCACTCAAAGGCTTTCAAACCAGCGATGTAGAAATCAAAAAGAAAAGGAAAATGGTTGGAGACACAGGGAGAATAAGTGCCCCTGCTTTTCTCTCCCTCTCTCTTTTTCCTCTGTCCCACCCCCCTCCATCCTCCCTTTTTTTCTTCCCTCTTTTTTTTTTTATATTTTTTTTTAATACTTTATTCATTTAATCTCTCCAAGTGAGAGTGCGAAGCATAATGAAGGGTTGGGATGGATTATTAGGAGCTGTTGATTTTGAGGGGGAGGGAAAGGGGGAAAAAAAAGCCGGAGAAGAGAAAGAGAGAAGATAATTTGACATTTACTCCGACTGATCTAAACTCATTCGGGTGTATTTATGGCTTATAAAGTGTTTAGAGAGATTGAAAGGGGTTGAGGGAGGGCTGAGGGGGGAGTGAGCGAGAGAGAAAACAACGCGGAGAAAAGGGAAAAGCCAGAGGGGGAAAAAATTAATATTGACTTAAAAACATGGCTCGTGTTTCGGCCGGATGCTGGGCCCAGAGGATGGTGCCAGTGGGAATGGGATGGGATGTGACAGGATGGGATGCAACAAGGCGGGATGCGACAGGATGGGACGGGATTCTCGCTGCCACCACCCCTGCCCACCCTGGGCCCCCCAAGCCCTGCTCACCTCACCAGCTCCTCGTTGTACAGCGACCGTGGGGACTCCCTGCCCAGGATGTAGACCTGGCCCTTGAAGACAGACAGACGGACGGTGCCCACCACGGGCTCCTGCGAGCGCCCGATGCAGTGCCGGAGGAACTCACACTCGGGGCTGTGCCAGAACCCTGCGGGCAGGAGGCAGGGTCAGAGTGGGAATGGGGCAGGCTGGAGTGCCCTGCGGTGCCCATGGTGGTCCCCAGGCTAAGTCCTGCGAGGCAGACCCTGGGTAATTTCCACAGGAAGGGATGAGAGAGGGCAATGCTGAGCTGGGACATCCACGTTCAGCTCTGAGAGAGAGAACCTCATGTGTGTCCCTTCCCTTTGGCAGCCCTTGGGATCCCACTGGGAGAGGAGGCTGGAACGAGCTGGTGGAGAAGAGGCCACGGGACCATTCTCCTTCCATCAGGGGTTGATCATGGAAATTAAGAGATTTGTTAAGTAGGTATGAAACCATCACTCGAAACCTGCCATCTTGGGAGGGTCAGGTGGAGACAGCAGCCCTCTGACACCCCCCCAAGCCCTCTGAGTCCAGACAGCGAGTGCACCACGGCCCCCCAGAACACATCCTGTGGGCACAGCCGTTGGCATGGCCAGCCAGAGGCCACCACAGTGCATGGAGGGGCTGTGGTCCTGCCTGCCAACCCCCATGCCCCTTCTGTCTCTAAGCGGGGTAATTAGCCGGGAAGCCCTTGGAGACCTGGAACAAAGCCTGGGAGATGTAGAAGGAGATAGAGGTGGAGAGAGAAAGAGCCCATTCACAGCCCTCCGGTCACCCCCAGGTTTTATCTCTCCCATCTCACTCCCTGCTGAACACCGGTGCCCTCTCACCTTTCCCTTCCCAGCTGGGCTCCGGGGCCGAAGCCATTAAAGAAACAAACAATTTCTTTTGTTGTTTGGCCTCGACAGCCCCCCCCCCAAGTGGGGCCGTATCCTGCAGCCTCGTCCCTGGGGTCTGTGTGGCCCCGCTCCAAGACACAGCACCCCTGCAGCCCCTCACCCCTGAAACCACCTCCCTGAACAGACTGCCCTCAGCTGCCCCACCACAGCACGGCCAAGGGGCTTGGGGACCCCCTTCCCTGCAACCAGCACTGCCACATCGGCAGGAACTCTGGCTCCAGGCAAATAAACCCCTGGTTTTGGTAACCACCCTCCAGGTACAACTCTTCTAATATCAGGATTGATGCAGGGCTGCTGCATCCCTGTAAAAATAAACCCCAGACACATTAAAATAATAACCAGCTGCTTAAATCCTGACTCTGACAGCTCCAGGTGGGAGAAAGCATCCCCCCTGTCCTTACCCCCCCACCGCAGACACTGGAAGCGATCCCCCTTAATGACCTTCCCACCATCCTGCCCTAATCACCACGTGGGCAGGGGGACAATGGCATTTCCGCACCTGGATGTACCTGCCGGGATGGAACCGTCTTCAAAGCCACCCCTCCACAATGGGATCAATGGGAACAGGCGAAGATAAACACTAATTCCCCTAAAAACATGGACTGGCTGCAATAATGAAGTGTTAAAGGAAGGTGAGCTCGAAAGCCTGGCCTCCGGCATGGGGATACAGGGGTGCTGTTGGGGTTGTTCCTTGGATTTGGGATTGGCTGCCAGGGAAGTCTAGGACCATGCTGAAAATCCCTGAGAATTCAGCATTTGGAGCAAGGGAAACAGCAGCCTTTGCCTGGCAGAGGTAGGGAGGAAGAAGCAAAACCACGATCCCCTGAGTGGCTCTTTAACCTGGTGGCTGCACAACTAAGTGGCTAGAAATAAACAAACAGGTTTATACCCGAACTAAAAAAAAAAAATAGTCAAAATAAAGGCAGCCCAGGTCAAAGTCTAACAAAAATGGCCAGAGACAGGAGTGGCATCAGAGTGTAAATGAGGCTGTGATCTAAGGGAAAGGTAACCAAGACTTCTGCAGCCCCTGCGGGGCCCTAAAATATAATTTAAGGAGCAAAGGGGCTCAGATATTAAATGCCAGTTGCTGAGGAAGATGCAGGAAGGAATGTCCTTAGAGGGGAAGGTGACAAGCACAGGTACCAGAAAGTGCAGGGGAAACAGCCTGACCCAGTCCTGCTGCATCTGCTGCTGCCCAAAGCCCAAGCTCCCAGTCAGGTTATTTACAGGGGATCTTCCCATGAAAGATCCCATGGGAATCATACCAGCCCCTTGCAGTTAGAAACATCTGAGAAGTGATGGGAGGAGGAACTGAGAGCCCAAGAAATCAGGGCCTATGAAAGTGTTGTTTGGATGGGGTCAGGAATCTCTCCATTGTGGGGTCTCCAGGGATGTCAGTTCTGAGCTGAGCACCCAGGTGTGGGCAGTAGGGGTTTGAGTCCACTTATGGCATTTTGGGCTAATCCCACTTCCTTCAGTTTAGCACCAGTGTCTGGGTTGGGGTGAATCCAGAGATCAATCCCCAGGGCAGTGATGATTCCCTTCCCAGGGTGCCATTCCCAGCCCTGGCAACCTCCTGGCCCAGCAAGCTGTTCCCTGCAGCACAGGGGGGGCTGAGCTGAGGCCCCTCAAACTCAACCCATGAGCTGGAGCTGCAGCTGCTCCACAGGAGGGAGGACACGGGGCTTCATTTCTGTCCCCCACTGCAGGGGTGAGCCAGTGTCCCCTCATCCCTTCAGGCTCCCAACCCTCTCCAGGCAGTGCTGTCCTGGTCCAGGCTGGGAGCCCCTCCTGCAGCCCCAACCCGCAGTGCCCCTGTGTGGGCTGTGCATCACATAGCACAGCCTCGACCCTCCATCCTGCAGCCCCCAGCACCTCGAGGGGCCCCTGTGCCACACCCCCCTGCCAGGGCACGGGAAGAAGTCTCTGGCTTCAAATCCCATGGCAGGGATGGCCATGCTGGGAGCTTGGGTGCCCCATACCCCAGAGTGTTTGAGTCCTTTTGGGGTGAAAGCAGGCAGAGATGGAACGGGTTGGAGGTGAGAGCTGGGGAAAGGGGGACAAAGGGATGGTGAACTACATCCCGTGAGACATCCAAATGTGTTTGCTGGGACGAAGTGGTGGCACTGGGCTGGGAGAGGTGTCGGGAGCATCACCTCATGGAAGACAGCATTGCCTCCCAAAGGCAGGCACGGAGCTCCCTCGGCAGGAAAGCAGGCAGAGTGTGAGATTGAGCTCAGCCCAAACCCATCTCTTCCCCCAGTGAGTAGCCTCAAAATCCACACCTGAATTTTACAACCCTGAGCGCACGCACTGGTGGGACCTGCAACCTCCAGCAGCACCAAAGGAGGAGGAGGAAGGCTGGGAGGAGGCTGCAGTGGCAGGTCCAGGCTGAAGGACCATACATACCGTTGTACACCAGCTCGGAGAATTTCAAGGTGAGCCCCTGCTTGATTTTCCGCACTTCCCGGTCCATGGTGAAGGCCTCGATATCTAAATGCGCGTGGTATAGGATCGTTCCCGCTGGGGTCTCATAGATACCTACCCATTTTTCCAGGCAGGGGGAAAAGCAGAAAAAGAGAGAGAAACGAATGAGACCAAAACTGTCAGCAAATGACAAAAAATAATGACTTGGCTGACAGAAGGAGCCGTGGTCGAGCGCATTCAGCCCCAGCTCGCTGTAAAATGCATCTGTCATTATATTCATGCTGGGGCCGAGACAGTCCACTCCGCACCTTGCGGAGAAAATTTCTAGATTCCCCTCTTTGAAGAGGCACTCTGACGAGGCTAAATGACAGGGTTTGGGAACCGATCCCCCCCACCCATCCGTGCCCAACGGTCTGCGGCTGAAAACCTGTAATTAGCGGAACGACGCGGGGCACAGGCACGGGGAGCGCGGGGCCTGAAGGACCCTCCTCTCCCCTCGGCTGGGGAGAAAGAGCCCCACACGTCCGCTGGGAAGCAAAGAGGCTACCTGGGGGCTGGGAGGGAAACCTCCTCTGGGGCTGGCAGGGCCCCCCCAGTCCCTTCCTGCTGCCCCCCCCCCTTTCCCCTCAATGCACAAGGCCTGGGGATGGAGGATGCTTAATTGTTTCAGAAAGCTGCTCCTTTGTTCCAGCTGTTCAGGGCTTGTTTTCTGCATAATGTGGTTACTTGGAGTTTAAATAGGGGTGCGGCCATGCAGTGCTCCTGTCCTGGTCAGATGTGGGTGGAAAGGTGGTGGGGGAAACACTGAGTTGGTCCAGCAGGGACCAACTGTGTTGGGAAAGGCTGTTGGGAAAGGCTGTAACCTGTCCATGGCCAGGGCTGTTCCATCAGCGTGTCCTTGCCTCCTGTCTGCCTCTGGGGATGGTCCCTTCCCAACACCAGGCAGCTGCTATGGCATGGACATGGGAATTGCTGACACACAAAGAAACTCTGTAAGAAAGCATCCCCAGTGAAGGGGATGTGCCCTCAACCAGCCCCAGCCCTGAGAGAGGGTGAGGGGAACCCCCATGGCAAAAAACCTCACCAGGCTCTGCTCTTTCAGTGCCCTGGAGAGTGGCACAGGCACATGACCCATCTCAGAGTGGCCACAGTCCCACAGACACAACAGGAGCCCTCTCTGCATGGCAGCCCAAGCCATTTCCATCAAACCCCATCCCAACCAGTGTCCATGATTCCAGCATCCTACAGGCACAGAACATGATCCCACTGTCCCAAAGGAGAGCCAATCCCTCCTCTCCAGCTACTCCAGTGATGTTGCAGCCTCGTCCTGACAGGGCTGTGGGAGCAGACAGCCAAGTTAACACCAAACCCCAGCTGTCCTATGGCGGTGGCACAGGAGCACAGAGCTCTATGTCCCCTCCAGCCCCTGATCACGGAGTGGAGCCCACCACTAACACAATTAATACTCCCTCTTTTCCCCTTAGGAGGTGTTAAAGCCAATTTGGGCTGATGATTTGTGTATGTGCCTTGACCTCCACGTTCTGCCCATCTGTGGGTCCTAGAGGATGGGGGACCAGAGTGTGTCAGCCAGGGCAGAGGGGAGGGCAAGCTGACAGCCACGCTCCAGCCCCGCCGCTGCCGAGGAGATAACAGACACCTTCAAAGTGACACTCGCAGCATCTCCAAGTGTCTGTTTTCATCTCCCCGTGTTTACAGGAAAAAGACAGAGGTGTCAGCACTGCAGCCCAGTGATGCTTCAATCACCCCATAATTACTGCTGGGGAAGGGGGGACTGGAGCTGCTGGGGGGGGGGACACATGGAGGGGGGCAGCCAAGGAGACAGCTGCTGCTACTTAAAATTTTCTAATTTGTAACCTTGGCTGTCACTTCACCTCCATCCAAGCAATTTTGCTGTGCTGAGTGCAGGCTGTCACTCCCGACGTCATTCATGGGACAGGAGGAGATGCAGTGACTTCCCCAGGGAGAATGCTGCCCTTGGGAAAATGCTGCCCAAATTTCTACCCCTGGTCCAGGGCCGAGGCCAAGCTCGGCCTGATATGTGTTCATTGCAGGGAAGGGGTTTTCCACTTTCCTGCTCCATCTGCTCAGTGCATCGACTGGAGGAAAGGGAAAAGGAAAGAGAGAGCCAAGGGGAGGAAAAGCCCCAGCCGAAGGCAGCACTCAGCTTTTGGCAGCGACCATCCCCTCCTTCCCACTTCCTCCCCACTGATTTCATTTACTTCACTTAATTAGCCCCCCTTCGGAGTTAAAAAGATAATTTGATAATGAGGATGTGAAAAGGCGGGAGAGGCAGGGCCGTGCTCCCACAGCAGCCCCGAGCCCCCGGCAGAGCCGTGCCCCCCCCAGCCGGCTGCAGCTCCACTCCCTGGCACCCCATAATTAGCCACCTCCTCCCACTAAAACAAATATGGCAAAACCGAGTTAATAGGGCTTAAAAGGCTGGTGCGGGTTCGTGCCACGTGCCCCTCGCCCATTAGGCCTTAACGAAGTTCAATTAGGAGCTTAGTAAAAAAAAATCAATGCAAATGAATTTTTCTCCTCTCCGACTCCTCGGGTCTGGGAGATGAGGGAGAGGAGGCACCTTCACTGCCACCTGCACAGCATGGAGGGATCAGTTCCTGCTGTTGACTGTGCCTCAGTTTCCCCAGCAGAGCCGGGGTCCCTGTGCTGCCCCAAGGAACCTGCAGAACCCTGAGTAAGCGGGGTCACCTCACACCACTGAGATTTGAGGGATCATCTCCTCCAAACCCAGCTGCCATCTCCTGCACCACTGACCCTAAGCCCATTTGGGGTCCAAAATACTTGTGGTAGTGAGGAGGTGGGGTCACCTCGAGCTGCCCTGCACCCCAAAAGCCCCCAGGGTGGGACAGGTACCCACAGCCCCCTCCTGTTCCAGCCCCTTCACGTCCCAGCTCTCCATCTCTCCCACAGGACATCTGTTGGAGCAGATTTCTCAGGGGTTTTTCTTAATCCCAAGAAGCAAAACCAGGGGCAGGATCCTGCTCAAAGCAACTGGGGGACCCCCCCCCCCAAGGTCTTGTCCCCACAGGAAGCCCACCCCAAGGTCTCATCCCCACGGTGCACACCCTGCTGTCCCCACAACGCCCGGTCCTGCCACGTCCGCCGGCGCACAAACACCACAGCGATCGCTCAGCAATGTCATGCAGCAGACAGACATGACAGTTAAATGGGGTTTAGAGAAATTATTAAATGCTGGAAGGGTCACTAGAGCGTGTCAGTGGCTCTTAAAAAAAAAATAAAATAGATTTTGACAAATTACTCAGCATCCTGAATGCAAATGCGCCGGCTGGCGTGCGCGGGTCGGGGCTTTTTCTTCCTTCTTTTGGTTTTAATTTGATTATTCAAACCCAGATCAAATGATTTGGGGTTTTGTTTCTTGCCTTTTGCGGTGGATGCTCTTGTGAAGGGCCCTGTGGCAGGGAGGGAGAACTTGGGCTGCGTCTAACCAAAATATTTGCTGTTGCCCTGCACAGAGGGCAAGTTTAAAGAAAGGGAGCATCTAATTAGGTATTAACGAGATTTAAAATAAAAGACTGGGGACAAGGAGATGGGAAATGAAGCTGAGCCACTTCGTTACTTAGTTCTGCACAGGGCAGCTTGCTGCCTCCAGAGGTTTCCAATGGAATTGATCCCAATGGATGATCAATACTAAGAGTCACGGCCTCCAAAATGTGTAGATAAATCAAAGAACTGGATTAAAAAAAACCCTCAGTGACTTACATCAGCCTCCTGTGTTTTGTACCGGTATTACAGAGCCTGGCACCCTCCAGGAGCATCCTCCCACCAAACCCACAGCCTGGTGTTTTTCCCCCTGGAGATGGGTCTCACCTGGTGGCACTGGGACCGCAGGGCTGGCGCAAACAGTGGCACCGGCAGCGAGCGGGCAGCTGCCATCATTAGAGAGCAACGAAAAGTCTCTGTCACAGGGAAATCTCCATCAAAAGCTCGTGGGGAGGGAAAGGTCGAGGGCTGCTGGGGTGACCTGAGCCACACCCCCCCCCGGGGTTTTCCTTTTTTGCTGTTTAGGGCAGGGATGGCCCCGCAGGCTCACCTCTGGACTTCATCCCGACGAAGCGGTTCTCCACGATGTCGATGCGCCCGACCCCATGCTTGCCCCTGAGAGGAGAAGGGAAGTTGCAGCAGCCCCATCCCTACAGTGGGACACGGGCAGCTGTGAGAGGTGGATCAGAGGGGTGGACAGTGGGGGACAAACCCCAAATGGCAGCACGATCAGCTCCTGAGCAGCACTGGTGACCATCGGTAGTGACCTGGGGCCAGCAGCACCACAGGCAGCCATGGCACTTGGGCCACTGGAAAATAAACCAGGCAAGGAGACAGGACATGCCACAGCTCTATTCTCAACAGACAAAGTAATTTTAAAACCACTTAATTACATTTAGAAAATTAACTACATGGAAAAGTTCATTCCCATTCACCACCAGGGGGATAAAGGCAGGGGCATGGAGGAGGATTGAGGTGGCCAGATGGCACTTAGGAAGAGCAGGTGCCCTCATGGGTGCTGCTGTATTTTTGGGCCAACCCCCAGGGATGGTTCTGTGCCAGTGGCATCGGAAACTGGGCATGGGGTGGCACAGGGCAGGAAACCCCAAAGGAGCTGCTGCTGTGGAGGCAGGGAGAAGACAGGGCTGTGGACCCAAACAGCACATCTCCATGCCCCCAAAAAGCCAACTCTCCACCCAAAAGGCACACTGAGCCCCCTTGGGCAGGCAGGGAGACGTGAGATGTGGGAGCTGGGGGTCTGGGACTGAGCTGGAACCAGCGGCAAAGGGGTGCCCTGCAGGCAGGGGGTGCCCCGGGGGCTCAGCCTCTGTAGTGGGCAGGGCAGCCCTCACCCAGTGTGCAGCTGGGGCACGTGGAAAACGCAGAGGGGGTTCAGAGGACTTTTTAACCCTCCTCATGCACCAAAAGCAACACCCTGGGGCATTTATTCCCTTGTGTTCCTGGCCTTGGTGCCCAGCTCTGCTTGCTGGCATTTAGGGACAACTAGGACCCAGCTGGGACCATCCCATGCTCACACTGCTGACCACTGTCCCTGGGCTCATCAGGACGTGCCTGCTGTGAGCATCCTGTTTCCACCCCACCCTGGGTACCCTGGGGATCTGCCCTTGTCCCTGCTGCCAAGGGACAGGGTGGCACTCACGCGATGTCGTTCAGGTACACGAAGAGCTCCAGGGCCGAGGAACGAGTGGCTCCGTCCCCAATGTTGGTGACCTTCACTGGGACACCTGCGGAGGCGGGGAGCGAGGACAGGCAGGATCAGCTGGTGTCAGGATCCCCCCCGGAACATCATCCCACGGGCGTTAAATAGATGTGACAGATATGAACTCTAAATAACTTCTTAAAAAGGCATATCCAAGCTGGCGCGAGGGGGAGGCGAGGGGAGGGGGGACCCACCTCGGGAGAGAGGCGAAATAAATAAATAAAAAAAAGGCCATAAAAACGTCACCCCTCCCTTTTCCCCTCTCTTTTCCCTCTCTCTTTTTTAGGGCCTGTGAAATTGCAACCAGGCCCTTAACTAATTGAATTTCACGCTCCGCAATTGTCTTACAGCGCAGCACCTTCTGTCCCACCAGCCCCTGCCGGGGAGGGGGGACACGGTGACAAATGCGTGCCCCCCCCCTCCCTCGCCAGCACGGGGGGCGTCTGGGGGGGGACCCCCACACCGGGGCACGGCTGCTCGCACACGCACGCACACGCACCCCGCGGCGGGGTGCTCCCCGCCATGAATTAATTATTGCACCTTTTCTTTCCCCCCCCCTCTTTTTTATTTTTCCCCTTAATTTTTTTTTTAAGGGCGCCGGGCAGGGGCAAAGCCAGGAGGGAGGGGAGGGGGGGGGAAATGCTGAATAGAAAGAGGCATTTTTCTTTAGCGGTGTGAAATGAGCAATAAATGTATTAGGAAGCTGACAAGGGGGCTGCGGGGCCCACAAAGAAAAGCGGTGCGGAGTTGGAGGCTAATCCCCCCTCCATCTGCCCTCCTCATTACCATTTAACGCACTATCAGTTGCCAATCAGCCTCAATGCCTCCCTTTCTAGTCTTTATTATATAGGCGCCCGCAAGAGCCCGGTCTAGTGACGGGGGCTGTCAGCTCCCCACCACTGCCCCCCTCCCTCTAAACCCCCTATTTTCCAGGGGTTTATAAACTCAGTTGTAAATTGCTATTAAATGTAACTCGCGGCAATAATGAACCTTAAGCTGCTTCTCGGCGCGGGCCCCCCCACCCCGCGCCCTCCCCTCGCCCCGGCTCTTTCTCTTCGCATCCTCCGCCGGGGTATTGGCCCGGGTCCGCCCGGCGAAGAGCCGACGTTGTCGGGGCCGTTGTTGGTGAAAGCTGCTTAGCCTTTGAAATAGTTAATAATTAGATTAAAACTTCAAATAAATTAACTAGGGGCTGAATGGGCTGCTGGAAGGAGGAGGGGGGGCTGCTCCTTGCAGGGGGATCGTTATAATGGAGCAGGGATGCTGGCGGCGGGGAGGGGGTGCCCCCTCCCAGCGGGGCTTCCCCCCCAGCCTGGGCTGGGCTCGCTGCTGCTGCCAGAATGGATGGTGGCACGGGGATGGCCTTGGCTGCTGTAAGTGGGAGATGCTGCCCAGTGTCCCCTCTCCGGTGAAGGCTCCGGGGCTGGGCCCTGCCATTCGTCCCGGGAATGTGATGGGGTGTCCCTGTCTCCTTCGTTTAACATTGATAGTACCAAAGGCCAATCCTGCTGGAGCATCTCCTCGACTGTGACACTGAATAGGGTCACCTGTGTGTTCCCAGGACCACCTGTGTGCCGACCTGCAGGAGAGAGACCCTGTGCCCACTACACCTCGATGGCTGTAGAGGGGACTCAGAGGGGTGCCAGCAACCCTAGGATCTAACCAGATCCTCTGCACAGAGCCCCAGTGTGCTGCAAGCACCATCCTCATCCCTGATGCCATGAGTTCACCCATGTGCCCCCACTCTGGAGATGCTTCTAGCTGCCAGGGAACCCTGCTCCTGGCCGGGAAGTTGGGTTTGTCTTTGGGGGACCAAGGCACAAGGGTCTGGCAGCAAGGAGGCTCTTACCCTGCTCAAACTCAATCTCCAGCACATCTGGGGTGTCAGGAGAGGTGGCCGGATCACGGGTCTTCGTGTAGAGCCCGGGGGGAGCCTGATTCTGTGAGGAGAGGGAGAGAGGTGGGAGAGTCAGCGGCATTGCCACGGCCAACACTGCTGGTATTCCCAGCCCCAGACTGCATCCCACCATCCCCCCGGTGCATCCCACGTCCCACAGTGAATTCCCCCTCCCCGGGGTGCATCCCCCATCCCAAAAGCGTACCCCACCATCCCAAAGCGCAGGACCAGGGCGGCACACCACCGGCGCTTACCGGGGCCCCGGGAACAAAGGGGTTGGAAGAATCAGCCAATTTTTCCCCTCAACTTGATCTCATCTTTTCCTCCAACGCCCCCACAGCTGGAGGCGGGATGGCTGCGGAGAAGCAAGTCAGGCAGGGAAAAGCGGGACGCTGGCAGCGAGCGGCGGGGCGGGCGGGTGCCCGCGTGTCCCCGCACCTCGGCCGGGGACCGAAAAAACTAATGAGGAGCCCTGACCCCAGCAGGTGCTCCAGGCGCCACCGGCTCTTTCATGGTGCTCCCGGGGTTAATACACACGGGGGAAAATAGAGCGGCGAAGCAAAAACCCATTTCAGAGCACATCAACCTTTATGTATATTGTTTTTTTGTGAGATTTATAGGAAAGAGGCATCTTATCTCCATCAGAGCCAGGCCAGCGGAGGCTCGGGCGCCGACGGTGAATTGCCGCAATTGAAGTGCGTGCCAGAAGAAGGGGGGGGGGGAAATACAATAAAAAAGAGCTCTCCGTCCCAGAGAGCAAATGCTTTGCAATTTCACGTGCCCCCTCGGCACTCGCCCATAATGTGACTGCACTTGCTGACCCCAAAATACTTTCAGATCGGTGTTTGCAAACTCCTGTCTTCAAAGGGACTCCCCACCCAGCCACAGCTCGGGGAGGTGGAGGGGAAACTGAGGCAAAGAGCACCCAGGGCATGTGCAGCGTGGTGGAAAGGCAGGAAGCCTTTTAAAAGGTGGCAAACTGGTATTTGCCCACTAGACCCAGCTGGTGAGAGCTGGAGCTCTGGGAATCCCTGGGCAGTGGGGCCCTGTCTGCATCCACCCACCCACTGCTTGGCTCACATGCCCTCTCTTCCTCCTCTCGTTTTTAAAGTACAGCTCTTCTCCTGTTCACTTCATAGAATACTATGGGATAGAAAGGACCTTTCAAGATCCCTTTTTCTCCCTTCTCTTCCTTTCCAGCAAGGTAAAAAAAGACAAGGTATAAAGCAAGTCAGGGAAAAGAACCCCCCAAAATCCAACCAAGTGGTTGCTTTAAAAAAAAATAAAAAAAGCTTTTCAGAAGGAAAATTAATTTCTCTACAGAAGTTTTCATCTAAAACTTTCAAAGACGGGCAGTAAGAATTTTAGTGAAAACTTCCATTTATTTTTCTCCAAACATATTTATATTTGCTGCAGCACTGCCAGCACCTGAGGGAAGCCTACTCAAACTGCAAGCATCCCCTTTTCACCAGGGGTACTCCTCTTGCCTTACCCCAAGCCCTGGGGTGCACATCCCAACAGCATCCACAGTCAAATCCCAGGAATACAGACATAACTACCCAAGCATACGCTGCAGCAAAACTCGCCTCAGTTCCCATTTTATGCCATTTTTGCCCCTTTCCCTTGTTTTAAGGGAGAGGCGCTGGCAGGCAGGCGCATCTCCCTGTGCCCCTGCACACAGATTACACGGGCTGTGGATTTCAATTTTACATCGTCTGGCCTTTCCTAGCCCTGATCACACTTATTAACTAGAGGAACCTGCGAGAGATGATGAAAAACTTTGAGTTCAAAAGGAAAAGATGGAGGAAGGGGGAGAAGAAATACCGGAAAGTATTAAAAACTCTTTACTAAACATTGGAAGTCAAAGTCAGGTAGTTTCCAATTTTCCGAGCCAACTATGAAAACCCCTATTAAATAAAATAACTAAATAGAAATAAAAGTGACATTTGGCTTGCATTCCATCATTACGGTGTGAGTCTGTCCTCTTTTTATTCTCTCTCCTAAAAGCACAGTTCAAATGACAAATAGTTTGTTGCAGTGTATCAATGCCTTCTATTTATCCCTCCCCGCAGGGGGGCTAGTCCTGCAATGTCATCTTTAAAGGGGAGAGAAAAAAAATAAAAAGGGGGGGAAAAAAGGAAAAAAAAAAAAGGAAGAGTGTGTGGAAAGGGAGAGAGGGAGGGGGGAAGAAAGAAGCAAGAAAAACGGGGCAAGAAGAGAAGAAATTGGAAGCAAATGGTCCATGAAGTAAACCATGATGCAGAGCTATCGATGCCGCAAATGGTTTATTCATCCGGCTGATATTGTTGTGCCCGGGACTGAATGAACTCTTTCAGAGTGCCATATGAAGTTAAAGCAAGTAAATTTCTATCTTTCTCCGCATTAGCTGCCTCATTGCCCTTCAATCGGGCCTCACAGAGGCAGAAAATAGCTCAACCATCTGCTTTCAAATCCCTGCGTTTGGCAGGTCCCGGGGGTTTGGGGAGGGGAGCCCGCCGTGCCTGGCACCTCGGATCCTGCCACAGCCACCAGGTGCCCGGCACTGCTTCCCGGGCCGGGGAGGGGACACTGGTGACACCGCGCTCAGGGGAGTCACCTCCCAGCGCTGTCGGAGGGTGAGATGCCCAAGCGGAGGATGCTCGGGGACGGGGTCAGGGCACTGGTCAGCCCCGTTTTTCCAAGCTGGCTGTGGGAAGGAAGCGGGCTTGGCAAAGCCTGGGGACTGGGGGTGTTCCGCTAGAGAAGAGGAGAGGTGCTGGGTGCGGAGGGGTGGGTCAGGAGGGGCGCGGGTCAGCGCCTTGCCAGCTCCAGCTAGAGGCACGAACACCCATCCCGGTGCCAAGCGATCCCCTGGAGGAGAGGAGGCTCCACGGGAACCCGGCTTCGCAAAGCCTGACCCACAGACCCCCCTCTGGAAGACACCAAAGGGGGAGCGGGACCCCCTCTCCACCTTCCCCTTCCTTCCCCCGCCGGAGGCACGCGTCAGCCCAGCTGCGGGGAGCCGGCTGCGCCGAGCTCCAGCGGCTCCTCTCCCTCTCCTCCTGTCTCCCCCTCCTTCTCCCCGGGTTGTCTAATTAGCGCTGATGGATAGTTTAAGTAGCCGCCGAGCGCGGTGACCCGCTGGAGCATGAACAGCGCCGGCAGGGCCAGCGGGCGGCCGGACCACGAGCACTGCTCGGAGCGGCCGGAGGTGTTGCTGCGCTCCCAGTAGCACCTGGCAGCAGATCCCAGCACCACCACAGGGCTCGTGGCCCCGTTGGGAGTCAGAACTGGTGGCCCCATGGATGCCCTCAGTGTCTCCAACACCTCACCCATCCAAGGGCAGGTTTTACCCCACAGAGAGAGGGGATGGGAAAACGAGGAGGGCTGGGCGAGCTGCAGGGGCCAGCCCGAACCCCCGTCACCAGCTCCGACTCTCCCACCAGCACCTCATCTGTCTAATTGCTCCTTTATTGCTGCCCCACGACATTGTCCCCTCCAGTGTCACCCTGAAACGGTCCCTTCCCCTATTCATGCCGGCGGCAATTAACGTGCCGGGGGAGGCGGAGGGGCCGGGGCGGGCGGCGGAGCCTCCCCGCACACACGGACGGCCCCGCCGTGAAATTTCCAATTAGGCTGCAAACACACGAGACGCCCCCGGCCCCGTGGCTGCCACGCTGGCCGGGTGGCCGTGATCGATTACCTTGGGGTTCTCCAGGATCCCGGCTTCGTAGCTGCAGCAGGCAGGGAAGGAGGGAGAAGTCACTGTAGCACCTGCAAACTGCAACCCCAAACCCCACCGGGACGACAGCCCCACTCCCACCACCCCATGGATGGGAGTAAATACATGTTATGGATCTCCAGGGCATTTTAGCAGTAACCCTGCAAGGAGAACTAGGCTTGGGAGAGCCCAGGAGATGGATGCTGCCACATGGGACATGGACAACTGGGCAGAAAGCCAGGCTGGAGGTTTGGGGGTCACCCATGGTGAGCAGGTCTGGGATGATGGAGGTGTGAAGGGCCACGAAGGATGGAGGGGATAGGGGCCTCAGACCCTGTGTCCTCACCCCACAGAAGCTCCCCACCTGCCTGGCCACTCACCTGATGTGCATGAGGTTCTCATCCATGCTCCAGGGTGTCTGGGGTGTCACAGGCACTGGGATCCCATGTTTCTGCCAAGAGAATGAGAGTGGGGGTAAAACAGCCTGTAGGGAATGCCAACCCCCACTGGCACCATTTCCCACCAGGATCACCCCCAAAAGCTCAAAGGCACAACCCATCATCACCAACAAGGCAGCACAGAGCAAGCTGCACACCCGTGTCCCTGACCCCAGGCAGCATCGGCTCCCACCACCAAGGGCCACCTCGATGAGGACATCAGGGACACAGTGTGGATGGGAGGACAAGGGCTGCCCCAGACCTGCCACAGGCTGAGAAGGGACCCCAGAGCACCCCACGAACCCCAGCAATGGGGACACCAGCATGGACATTGTGTTTTTCCTAGGTCCAGGTCCAAGATGGTGCAACATTCTCAGGCACATGGTGGGACAATGGGTTGTCCTGTGAAGGCCATGAGTTGGATTCAATGATCCCTGTGGGTCCCTTTCAACTCAGGATGTTCCATGATTCTCCCAGCTGGGCTGCTTAGCAAGGGGAGGCAACGAGGACACAAATCCCCAAATCCACAGGATGCTCTGGAGGACTGATGCTCTGCCATGAGGGGACAGCAACACAAACACGTGGCAAAGCAGCTGTGGAGATGTCCCCCCCGAGCCTGGGCACCTCGAGCCCACCATGCCAGGGGACAGGCGGCTCCACACCGGCTGCCTCCCCAGCACAACGCGCTGCTCCGAGCCCGGCTCCCTAACAAGGTCACTGGTGTGCTCAATTATCCACTGACATTTCAATGGGGGAAATTGCCTGTGAAGACGAGGTGAATACGCAGGGGAATTAGCAGGAGAGGTGACGGCAGCAGGCTGACAACTGGAGCCAGCGGGGACGTGTCCCACCCTGCTGGCATGAGGAGATGGGATGTGCCGGCTGTGGGATGGCCACAGGGAGACAGGGGTGGAGATGGCAGCTCTGGGCTCCCACTGTGCCCTGATGTGTCTGTGTTCTGGCACGTCAGTGTCATCACAGCAGGGACATCAGCCAAGGGCTTGGCCAGGGATGGAGGAGCAGGGGCTGAGTAGAGGCTCCTTGTTTGCTGGGAAGAGGGGAAGGAAATGCTTGTGGTTGTTTCATCATGTCCTCAATCCATCACCCGAGATGGGAACAAGGTTCTGAAATGCCTCCTAAGGTTGCAGAGGGGCCGACTCGGCTCTGGTCCTGAAGGGACATTGCCTCACGTCTTGATTTGCTGGTCCCACACCACAATTCCAGTGCGGGACCCCCTGGGACTCCCTAATGTCCAGATCCGATCTAAACCCTCCCTGGCACAACATGAGGCCATTTCTTCTTGTCCTATCACTTGTTATTTGGAAGAGGAGACAGACCATTGGCACACTTATCTCACCTGAGATATACAAATGTATCTTTCCAACCTGAATAATGAGCCACCAGCCCCAGCTGATTTATTTTCTCAGCCAGCCCTCTGCCTCCTCCTGGCAGCCCCCAGCCCATCCTCACTCCATTTCAAACAGGATCCTCCAAGTCCAGACCCACGTACCAACATTTACTGAGCCCAGGCAGCCTTGGCCGGAGCCAAAGGTGCCACAACCAAAGAGAGATCTTGTTCTCAGGCTCTGTCCCACCTGGCTCTGCCTGCAGCCATGGCTCACCCTGGAGCAGCACCCACGAGAGCTTCCCCCTTCTCATAAAGTTATTTCAGCCTCAGCTGGTTGTGGGGATGAAGCAGCTGCTGGCACAGGTTGCTGCCAGAGCAAAGCTGGCTCCAGCCCCTGGGCAGCAAATTCATGGCAAGAGCTGTGCTGCAGTGACACGGATCCTCCCTTTCCCTGGTACTAATGGAGCCCCAAATATCATTCCTCAAGCACCAAGGTAAGCACATCCAGGTGCTCAAAGGACCTGGCCACACGTCTCCCTCTCCTGAGCATGAAAAAGAAGAGAAATCCCCCTTTTTTTTTTTAAAACTAAACATAACCAGAGACTGAAAAGTACTAGGAACCCTCACCCCACGACCTTTCCTCTTGGAACCGGGCCCCAATCCATTTCGTTTCCCTTTCACCCTCCCCCTTCCAAACAAACAAACAAAAAAAAAACCCCACAACCAAAACAAAACCCCCCAAACCCAAAACACGTGTTCCATTTTCCATATAATAAAACCACGGCGCTCTTAGTAACTCCCCTACTTGACAATTTGTTTGGCAACATATGGAAAGCTCTCGTAAACTCGCCCCTTCATAATACAACGGCAGATGGCAAACACAATCCTCAACACGCCACCCTCTCCTGGCGGCCCTAATGGGCTCGGAGGGCTCCTCACCCCACGGCCACGTCCCTCCAGCTCCACACCTCGCCTTCCCAGAGATTACCCAGGCAGCTATTTAAAAACTGAAGCAATTTTCTGGTTTATGCACAGAGCTGCCTTTTCCCTTTTGATTGATTGAGCCGAGTTGTCAAGCATTTCCATGAAGTCGCTTAAAAAAGAAAGGTACCCTGGTGGGCACATAAAAACCTGATGCAAAACTTCTAATATGTTTTATTGTAACTTGTACTTCAAAAAGGAAGGGACAACAAAGGTGAATGTGTTTGCTTTGTCTGCCGCTCAAGTCAGGGAGCTGGGACCCGTTTCCTTGGAAAGCAGGTTACCATTAATAGCCAGGTAATTATGGGGCTTTTAAAAAGGGAGGATGAAGAAAAAACATAGATGCTGGGGGGGGGGGGAAACCCCAACCAGAAGGCTCCAGTGTGGTGCTGGAGGGATGTTGGGCAGGGCTTGCTGCTGTCACCTGCCAAGCCATGGTGAGCATCCCGTGGCCATCCCAAGCTTCCTGGGGCCACACTGAGCATCCCACAGCTCCCCTGAGCTTTCCACAGCCACCCTGAGCACCTTGTGGCCTCCCCAAGCACCCCATGGCCACACCACACCAGCTCCTACCTTGGCATAATCCATCAGCTCCCGGCGCCCAGGGAAGCGCTGGTAAAACTCGGGCAGCCTCCACGGTGCAACAACCTGGTGGGAGGGCAGGAGCATGAGGTGAGGAGCCCCCAGCCCTCTTGTAGCCCCTGGGCCCCCTTTGCCCCTTGGAGACAGGACCCACAGGGTTTTTGTCCCCCAGATGAAATTTAATCTCCCAGCACAAGGGTGGAGTAACCCAGACCTCTGGCCCTAACCAGGCACTGGATGCAAGGGGGAAACAGGCAGCAGCTGCCTTGATACTGTTTCCTCTGTGGCCTCGTGGTGTTTGGGGTAAAAATAGGTCAATTAAGGATCATTACAGCCCCCTCAAATGCCAAAACGTCGCTGTGTGCAGCTGGTAGCTTGTTAAAGTGAGGCATGGCCCCTTGCCTCGGTGTTAAAACAGAATTCCCCACCAGCTGGGGAGAGGCCAGGAGCCCGGGGGTAGGATGATTTTAGGTGCCTTACCTTGATTTTGGGACACAGGGCATAGCAGGTGAGCTCGAACCGAACCTGGTCATTGCCCTGAAAAGTGAATGGGAGATGCTGAGGAGTCACCCCTCACTAGGGCGGGCTGGGAAGTGGGTGCTCCCCACCCTGATCCCACTGATGGGGGACAAGATCTCATTCCTGGACCAGCTCACACAGGGCCACACAGCATCCTCGGGAGAGGAATGTTGCCTGACAGGGACACAGGTTTGGATTTGGTGAAAGAAACAGCAAAATTAGCAGGAAATCTTTAAAAAAAAAAAAAAAAAAGGCAGGAACATTAAAAGTGCAGATGACAAGTCAGCAGCTCCCGGCTCTGCTACAGCCCCAGGGCTTCATCCAGGGAGCTGAGAGGCTCAGGAGCTGCTGGGCAGGCACATGTGTGGCAGTGCACACGTGTGGTGGTGCACATGTGTGTAACAACACACACATGCAGACTCTGAGGTGCTGCTTGGCTTCAGTCACAGCTCCCCTTGCGACACTGAAGACCCCAGGCACAGTGGGCAGGAATCCTCTGTCCCATGGGGCCTCTCCTGGTCCCTCTCCATGGCTTGTTTTAACCCCAAACCACCTTTCCTGGAGCTCCTGCTAGCTGGGCATTCAAAATCCCTGTGCAACTCATTCACCAGGCTCCAAGGGAGACAGGCTGACCACAGAGTCACCCAAGCCATGCTCTGCCCTGGGCTGACACTCCTGAAAGCTGAACCAACAGGAACCCAGATTCAGGTATTTTTCCCCCAAAGGGATCAAAGGACACATGGAGAGAGAGGGCAAGGTGGGAGGAAAGACCGTGGTGAGCAGGAGGATTCAGTAGCTCATAATTAATTAGCTCTGAACCTCCCTTTACCTTAATTGGCCCTTGCTGATGAGGTACCACTAACGAGCCCAGGTAGCCAGGAAGGGGTGAGGAAGGAGGCTGGGAGTTATTAGCACCTTCAAGGGAATAGCACTCGCCAAAGCCTATTTTCCACCCACACCAAGGGGCAAACAGAGCCCCCCTTCCCTCCTATCGGCCCTGGCCTGAAGGATACATTTACAACCGGCCTGGGAATTCCCTAAGGACTATTACACTCAGGCGAGTCCGTCCACCAAAGTACTCATTTCCCTTACAGGCCCAAAACACGTCCATCTGCTCCGGCAGCGGGGACACCCCAGATGGTCCCATTTAAGACGCCGCAGCCGGGTCGAGTTACCCGCGGTCGGTCCCTGCCCGTGCCCGCAGCTTAATGGCTTGGGAAGCAGGAGCCACCGAAGGTGTCCCAGCCAGCGGGGACGGCTGGTGGCACCCGGGAGCAGAGGGGACGTCATCTCGTTGTGGGTGTGTGACTCCACGGCACCGTTTAGTGGGGGCTTCCGAGAGGGGGCTGCTGGGGATGGGTGAGATGGACGGGAAAGGGGTGCAGGGACCCCACCGCAGGAGGAGAGACAATTATTTCGGTCATAAAACCCCCCAGCTGCCCCTCTGCCCCATCTCCTGGGTGCTGGCAGGAACCTCGACAGCCTCCCGGCTGCACCTAACATCCCCCTCCTAAGCAAGGTCCTCTGCCATAGCTGGGGACCCCCAAACCCAGCCGCCCCAAACTCACTGTAACCCCTCGAGGGGGTCACCTCGCCTTGCCCCTGGGCCACGATGGGCACGGGCTGCGCTTTGGGTCCCCGTGGGAAGGGAGGAGGAGGTACTGGGCAGGACCTGGGGTCACCCACTGAGCCCTCACCTGCGCCAGGTGTCCCCGCCCGGGCTGGGCAGCGTGCGGGCAGCGGCTGGAGGTGCCGGGGATGGCCCACGGTCACGGCTCGCAGGTTCCACGCCCCCGCCACGCTCCCCGCGGGGGATTCCCCCTCTCCGGGGCAGGGACTGGCCCCGAGCATCTCCTTTCTACGGTCTCTGGCTGCCTCTAGCGGCAAAGTGTCGTCCCTGCGTCGGCGGAGACAGCGGGGATGGGGACAGGGACCGAGACAACCGGGATAAAGATAGGAATAGGGACAGGGACCAACAGAGCCAAGGATGGGGACAAGGATGGGGACAGGGACCAGGACAGATTGGGATGGGGACAGGGACCGGGACAGCCAGAGCTGAGGACAGGAATGTGAACAGGGACCGGGACAGGGACTGGGACAGTCACATGTATCCCAGGATGCCCCTAAACACCACGGAGGGTGCTGGCTCAGTCCCAGCTGGCTCCTGGCCTGGACAGCCCCAGTCTGTAGCAGCATTTTCAAGCTGCTGCCGAAAACAGGGTGTTCGGCTCTGACTCCAGCCTTCCCGATAGGGAGAGGGAACCGAAATCGGGCACAGAAATCCCAGAGGCGAGAAGGAAGTGTTGAAACACAGCTGAGTTTTGCACGGCCCTGCAGAGCACCCACAAAACACGCCGTGCACCCAGAGCTTGGCCAAGGGACCAATCCCTGCCCTGTGCCCCCGTCCTCCCTCACCTTGCCCGTGGCCCCGTGGGCGACGTGCTGGGCTCCCTCTCTCTGGGCGATCTCCACCTGCCTGCGGGCGATGCAGGGCCGGGCCAGCGCCGTGCCCAGCAGGTACCGGTCCTCGTAGAGCGCGTTGGCCTGCACTGCCGGCCAGATGAACTCCTCCACAAACTCCCTGCTGATATCCTCGATGTACACCTGCAGGCACAGAGGGAGCGTCCTGGTGGGAGGACGGCTAAGGGGAGAACCCGCTCCTCTGAGGGATTTGGGGACAGTGCAATGAAAGGTCCCTTTGTGTCCCCTTTCCTAGATGCTGCTAAAGGGCTTTGGTGCAAAAGCTCTGGAAAAGGGATTTCTCACTGGCGCTGTCCCTCCTCCCAGCAATGGGATATGTGAGACCCCAGGGCTCAGCCCCACACCAGGGAGCAGGGGGAGCTCAGAACCCCAGAGGGAGGGACACTGTTACCTTCTTGGCCCCCAGGGCCAGCGCTTTCTTTCGTGCTGCTTCAAAATCTTCCTTCTGCCCAATGTTGGCCTGGAAAGGAGGAAAAAGTACCAAGACTGAATGTGAAAGGAGACCACAAAACCCGAGTGCAAGCCCAGTCTGGCACAGGGCATCATGCACAGCATAACAGAGCCCATGCTGGCTGGGCTTGAGGCCACCCAGGGTGGGCAGGAGGGGGGTTCCCCCCTGAGATGGCCATGCACCCCTCTGCCAAGCCCTAATCTACTGCTCTCATTAGCAGAGGGTCATTATCTGGCAGAAACAGGCTGTGCCACAGAATCAGCTCAACAAATTAACATCCAGGCTGGGCAATGGTTAACCAGTGAGACCAGGATCACCACTATGGCCACACATACACCAAGAGCCCTGTCACCCACTCAGGTCCCCAGATTGCAGCTCAGCACTCCCTCCACCCCCAGCCCCCAGGGACAGGGTTCCTGTGATGGGGTTTGGAACAGAGCTCACCAGGTAGGCAATAACATCGTAGCCTTGCTCCTTCAGCCACACCAGGATGCAGGAGGTGTCGAGGCCCCCGCTGTAGGCAAGGACCACCGTGCCCTTGGACTGAGCCATAGTGCTGACAAAGCAAAGGAAAAGGGGTTCAGGATGCCCTCAGCCCCTGTTGCAGCCATCAGGAAGGATCAGTTGAACCAAGATCCCTTCTGGGGCTGCAGGGAGCAAAGGGAGGGCTGGGAGCAGGAGGAAAAGCCACAGCAGCATGGGCACATCCAGGCTGCAGCTCCCAGCCAGGGAGGACACCCTGCCTGTGCACCAGACAGTGCACCTGATGGTGGCTGGGCGATGGGAGGATGCCATGGCACCCATCAGAGCTTACCTTTTCTCCATGCTGACAACCCTGCAGCAGCCTGCCCCACACTCTGCAAGCACCCTGCAATGCCAGGGGGCTGGAACTCAGGCGCAGGCGCCCAGCTGTGGTGAAGGCACAGCTCAATGCCTTGCTCAGGCACGACCCAGCACATCTCAGGCCTCTGCAGAGAGCCACCCACCACCTCAGCCCCAAGTGCCCTGTGGCACTGCTGGGCGTGACATGGTTGCAGGGCTGGGGGGTTTGGAACTGTCCCCCAGAGCCCAGCCCAGCCCAGCCCCAAGTCTAATTAATGCTTATGGTGCATTTGTCCTGATTACGCTGCCCGTGTTTTCTGCCAGCACGAAACACCTACGTGGGGATTCGTTGCCCCTCACCCTCCAGACAAGGATATCAAGGATCTGAGACAACAACAGGAGACGGTGGAAGAGGCCTGGAGCTCAGGTGGAGGGATGGAGATTCCAAGCAGGAAGGGGCTCTGTGGCCCCGGGGCCAGGCTGTGAATCCCAGGGCCCCAGGAGGAGGCGATGCCAGCTGACCCTTGGCCGGGGGAGGCGGACGGTGGAGCCAACCAATTCCTGTCCTGAGCAACTTTCATGCTGCTGCCGCTGCCAAGTCAGCACAATCCTGCTCCTGCAGGCAGGGAAGGCGCCCTGCTGGGCTGCTCCTGGCTGGCACACCGGGAACCTCTTCCAGAGTGATGTGGTTATGCCGGGGTGTGCCCCAGCACCCGCATCCTGCCAGCATCCCACGGGCACAGCTTGGAGCTACTAAAGAGCAGGATCTGCCCAGTCACTGAGGTTCGTGCTGAGGAGCAAAGGGGGTCTGGCAGCCCCACAACCTGCATCCAGCTCCCTGAGCCTGCCCGTGCCCGTCGGGCTGCCACGCAGGCAGCACCCAATGCCCAGGCTTGAGCAACCGGCATTTCCCTGCTCGTGGGGCCCCGTGGCTGTGCCGAGCTGGGTCCCTGCCCAGGGAAGTTCAGCCGTCCCTTCCTCGCTGGGGCATTTACAGGAAGGCAGTCGCAGTTCCCAGAAGGGCCCAGCCCAAGCGGCTCCTTTCGAAACTGATTCCTCCCTTTACCCCCAAACTCATCCCTGCTGTGGCCACCAGCATCGCTGTGGTGGTTGCCAGCCTGACTAAGCACCTCTGAGACCGGGCACGCTCGCTCCACAAGTGGCCCAGCAGTGGTTTAGGGAAACACCTCCAACTTTTGCCTGCTCAGACATGTCCCCACTGCCTACAAAATGCCCGGGGGCACTTTGCCCTGGAGATGCATCTTGCATCCCAGAAAGGGTGTGGGGCCACCAGCGTTCCCTGCTCTGGAAACGGGGCTCGTGCCAAGCCCGCCTGCCCAGGAAGGGAGAGCCCCGAAGTTTCAGTGTTAGGTGGCAATAAATCAGAGCAAACAAAGCTCAGTGAAGGGGAACGCGGCGGGACTTTCTCAGCCCTTGTTATTATTCCGTAGCAATTTCCGTGTGAGTTGGGGCAGGGTTTGGCTTTTACCGGAGAGAACTCTGGCTGCCCTGCTCCAAAGGAACACTGGGCTTTCGGTTTTAAAAACAAGGAAAAATAAATGTATAAAAAACGGAGGAGAACGAAAAGCTCCAAACTTTGGTAAAGAAAGGAACTGTCTTTGCCAGCTGGGCTGGAAGAACTGCCGGGATGCTGCCTGCGGGCTGGGATGGGGCAGGGAGAAGGGCAGGGGCAGGCAGGAGGGGCAGGAACAGGCTTCCCAGGGTTTCGTGAAGCAGAGGCATGCAGGGATGTGCTCACGGGTGCGGGGGTTTGTCTCAGCATCGCTCCTCCACCTTGTGCAGGTCCCATCCTGCCCCCCAAAATCCCCAGCACAGAGTGGGGAGGGCACGAGGTGGTGCCAGCTGAGGTCTCAGCTGCGTTCCCTTGGGGTGGGTGAGGGGACTCTCAGAGAAATGGGATTCACTTGGAAGCCCCACACCCCAAACTGAGCTAGGAGGGGCTTGACTACAGCCTGCACAGTGCTGGGAAGGGGCTGGCACCCCACTGCCCTGCTCCAGCACCCAGGGGTGAGGGACACCCGTGGGTGGGTGGAAATGGGACAGACGGGGTGAGGGGACACATTTCCCGAGGCAAAGGCCCCCTTTTCCCTCTCCCTCCCATCCCATGCCTGCACTCACCCACTCCCGGTGTCCGGCTGCCCTCTGCACTCTGGTCCGGTGCCTGGAGCATCCTCCTCCTCCTCCTCCTTTATAACCGGGCCTGGGCAGGCGGAGCCGCCGCAGGACAGTCCCCTGTGGGCACCGGTCCCCGAGAGAGGCCCTGTGCTCCGCCTGCCCGCGGGATACCCGGCAGAACAGGAGGAGGCAGCTGCCCCCCGGCCGGGATGGAGTGAGTGCCCAGTCCCAGCCCTTGTATGGCTGCTCTGGGTGCTGCCTTCCATGTCCCCCCAGTCCTGACCTCGTCAGCAGCCTCCCCTGGAGGGCCCCAGGAGTTGGAAAATGGGGGGCAGATGGGAGCCAATGCTCTGCAACCATCTGGCTTCCCTCCCTGGACCAGCAAGACTTATTTGATCTACTATTGGATTTATCTGAAGCTTTATCAGGAGATGCAGGAGCCTGAGTGGGCAGGAGGAGATGGGGCAGGAGGGACAGAACAAACCCACTTTTCCCCCCTGCACGTACCCAGGACACCCCAGACCAACAACAGACCTGGTCTTGAGGGACAGGAAAGCCTCATCCCAAAGGACAGAGACTTTTGGGGGAAATGTCAGTGGCCACACACAGGTGCAGCAAGACTGGGTTCCAGTGATGGGACCACAGCACCCTCACCTGGGTGCACTGCCACCATCCCACACCATGGACAAGGACTGAAACAGTGTTTTGGGAACAGTCTCTACCTTCACTACGTGCAAAGAGGCCACATCCTGCTCCTGCTGACCAAGGGACCAGATGCTGGGGCAGGATTGGACCTTCAGGGACTGGACAATGTCTGGATGTGGCAATCTCCCTTCTATGGTCCAAGGCCAGGCAGAGAGGTGTCCAAAGCCCCAGGAATTCTGGGCGGCTGCTGGGGCAGCCCCATCCCACATACTGAAGGAAGCTGCTTTCTTAAGGCATGGGTTGATATTTAACCACAAAACACCTTTATAAATCAGTAAGTGTGCACAGAAACCAAGTGGATTTAAAAAAATTCCAAAACCAACTATTTCAATTTAATACATGGTTAATGCCAGGGTGCCCTGTACCCTCCCCAGGCTGGGGGATCCCTCCCTGCACCCCAGGCCAGTTCATCCTCCCACCCCCACATCTGGGAGCTGATCACAGCCAAGGCCATCCAGAGCTGTGTTTGCTCTGGGATTTGGGACCTGATTGCAAGAGGCTGGTGGGATATCTTGTCCCTCCAGGGACCCTGCTGAGTCAGAGATCCTCAGCAGGTGGAGGGAACACGACTGAGGGGTGAGGGGGTGTCTGGGAGAGAGGGGAGAGGTGCAAGCTCAGCGCTCCCTGAGCCACGTGCCCCACCCGTGCGGTGGGGAGGGACAGGAGGAGATATGACCTGCATCCCCTCCTGTCCCTTGGCTGTGTCAGTAGGGGTAGGGAGAGACAGAGATGAGGAGGAGGAAGATGCTGGGTGCCCTCTGCCCACCCGGGGCCAGCGCCTGCACCTTGAGGCGGTGGGTGCCGGGGTCCCGCAGCGGGCGCAGGGTGGAGATGATGCCGCGGCCCCGCTCGGTGCGGAGGGCGAAGGGGCTGCCGGGGTCCTGCTCCAGCAGCG